TACACTAAACAATCAGTACTAGTAATAACAATCAGTACTATATTTTGGTAAACTAAAACAACCTGATACATAACATACATTTAACATATTAAATAACTTACAGTAATATATAAATACATAATTTAATAATTTAATAAATCTTATAGATACATAACTAGTAGAAATTTAGATACATAACTTATAGTAATATATTAACATATTGTACATAATTTATAATTTATAGTAATATATTAACATAGATACTATACATAACTTATAGTAATATATTAACATAGATACAATACGTAACTTATAGTAATATAGTAACATTTACTTTTGCAAATTGTGTCATAATTTAATAAATCTTATAGTAATATAGATATATAAATAGTGCTTTTTTTATTAGAGTCAATTTTGTTGATGATATTATAAACAACCTCAACTTCAGTGTTTGTTCGTATTTTGTTTTGAAATTTTTATTAAATTTGTTTGTTGATTATATAAATAGATGTGTGTATGTTTAAGCATATTTACACTTTTTAGGCTTTGCCATTAAAAACTCCGTCCAGACACATTGAATGTCAACAATAAATGCCATGATTATGGTGTGAGAACAGACTTAGAACCCTTAAAACTTCAAGGTGTATATACAATATGGATTATAACTTGCCATCTAGTATAACGGGTAGTATTACTATTTTTAAGCATACTAGTATAACTGATAGTATTATTATTTTTAAAAAACTAGAAGTATCAAACTTTTGAAATTAGTACAGCAGCAAAATACCAAAAGCCACCCATCCCAAATACCAAAAAGAAACTTGAACCTCCCACACTCACCCCAAATACTAAAAGCCACCTAAATATTAGCAAAGAGAGCAACAAAACTCACTGCTAACTACACTACTAATAGAAAAACTCTAACTTACACCAACACCCTCAAACTTGCAACAATGATTGAGCAAAAACTATGATTTGTAATTAAGCAATTATTCTTGACAACTCTTAACAGCAACATAAAAATGCCTCAGAAACAAATTTTAATAGAAATAACCTAAACTGCAATATAACCAAGGTAAAACTTTTAAACTCAAACACATACCTTGACTCAACCCTTACAAACTAGCATTTTCAGCACCTTGCAAGCTCCCTTCTTCAGGTCCATGCAAGCTTCCTTCTCTAGTTCCTTGCAAGTTCCCTTTTCCATGTTCCATCTTTCAATAATCAAAACAAATCAAACAATAAGTATTAAAACAAACTTATAAGTACTAAAAGTTGAAGACCATGTACTTAGGTTGGTTTAGTAAGTTGCTATAAAAATTTCAAACTAGTTTTCAATAGATTTTCAAACAATAAGTACTTAATGCATCCATTACATATGCTGACTATTTTTCAATAATCAAAACACATAAAACAATAAGTTTAAAAAACAACCAAAATTAAAGATTTGCAGAATACAAATTCAAGATAAAAGTTCAAAAAATCAGAAATAGAGACAACTTTGCAATGACAAGTTTAAGCTTTTCAAATACAAGTTTGGTGCAGAAAGAGAGAAAGACATAGAAGGAGAAAGAGAGAGAAGAAGAAAAAGATCAAAGAAGAACTTACATTCATGTCGAATCGTGGCTTGGTGGTGTTCGTGGGGACCAAACAACGACACAAAATTGAAGAAGAAGATGAAAATTGAAACTAGAATGTAACCCTAGCGGCGGAGACAGAAATGAATGAATGAAGAATTGAAGAAACAAACCCTAGTGGTGAGTGACTATGTGAGAAAATATGTTGTTTTGGGCCAATCAAAACTGACTTTTATGGGCCCATTAATGTGCCAAGTCTAATTAATTAACACACATAGCTATAACGTTTATTAGGCTAGTCGAGTTTGATATCTATGGGTCCAAATATTGTATCCTAAACCGACCAAATATATCCATTTAAGCCCTTTTTTTTTGCAAATAGTTAACCTGATAACCCGTCTAACCCGACTCGCGTATTCCATAGAGGTGTATTCACCTCTACCATTAGTTCTCAGTTTCTTTAACTTGCATTCACTTTGTTTCTCGACATGCAATTTAAACTTCTTGAATTGTGTGAATACCTCACTATAATTTTTAATAAGATAAATCTATATATATATATATATATATATATATATATATATATATATATATATATATATATATATATATATATGTATATGTATATATATATATATATGTATATATATATATATATATATATATATATATATATATATATATATATATATATATATATATATATATATATATATATATATATATATATATATATATATATATATATATATATATATATATATATATATATATATATATATATATATATATATATATATATATATATATATATATATATATATATATATATATATATATATATATATATATATGGTGAATTCATATACGAAGGTTAGGAAATAGCAGTTGCCTCAACTTAATCTTATTTCAAAAGGCCCACACACATCAGAGTGAACAAGCTCTAGCTTTTGTTTCGACTTCATAGACAAATCATGCTCGAATGCTTTCCTAACCTACTTTGCTTTGCAACACTTTTCACACACCTAAATTAGTTCTTTCACTTTAGGTAAGCCACACACCATCTTCTTCAAGTTGAGCATATATAGACCTTTGAAGTTTAGATGTCCTTACATGTGATGTCATAAACAATTTTTATCTTCTACAACAGTTGAAGAAAGACATTAATGATCAACCATGTCGATCTCAATCTTGAAGGTTTTGTTATCTTCTAATGGTAATTTCATGATCATTTTTCCTTCACCAATTATACACCTTAATATGATTTTCTTCCAACTTCATGTTATAACCTTTTGCAAATAATTGACATATGCTTATAAAATTACTTTTCATCGAACACACATATAATACATCTTTAATAATGACCCTCTAACAATCTCTTCAAACCATAACTACGTTTCCTTTTTGATGTGGCATGTCTGCCATATGCAAACCTAATCTCTTTCTTAATTGATTCATCTAACTTGGTCAACCAATTTTTATTACCAATCATATGGTTGTTGCATCATGAATCTAGATACCACATATTAGTCTGTTCATTCTTCGATTGAGTATTGTTCATGAGTAGCATATCATCAGAGTCACTTTCTCCAGTATGTGCATATTCCACTTCTTTATTATCTTTTGCCATTAATTTCTTCTTTCATTGACAATCTTGAGCATAATGACCAAATCCTTGACAGTTGTAACACTGCATCTCTTTCATATCAACTTTCTTCCTCGAATGCTTGTTAATCATGTCTTTCTGGATCGAATCAGAGTGATTCTTTGAATTCTTGCTTGAATTTTCATCATTAGCAAGATTTTTTCTCTACTTGACCTTTTCTTTTTCAGACTTCTTGATGAATCTTGCTTGTAGTGCTTGTTCCACCACTTTCTCCCTTTATATTAGTTTCTCTGCTTCAATCTCGTCTCATGAGCTTCAATCTCTAATGAAGCTTGAAGTTCTTCCAACTTCATTTCAGCTAGGTTCTTAAACTCTTCGATATAAACTACAATGTAATTAAAACTTGCAGTCAAAGATCTCAACACCTTCTCAATCTTCTGCAAATCATTGATTGACTCACTACAAACCTTCATCTAGTTGGTGAGTAACAATAATCATTAGAAGAAATCAACAATCGATTCATCTTCTTTCATATGTGTTATCTCACACTGCTTTCTCAATGTCTGCAACTTTACCCTCTTTAGTTTTTCATCTCCACCATACATTTTCTTTAACTTGTCCCATGTTTCCTTGGACATATCTTCTTCAATAATCTTCTCAAACACATTAGAATACATACATTAATGAATCAAGAAAAGAGCTTTCCCATTTTTCTTTAGTTGTTCCTTATGTGCAGCCTTCTGAACATCACTTGTGTTCGCTTCCAATGTAGATACTCCATCACACACGATTTCAGCTACATCTTGAAATCTAAAGACGATCCTTCATTTGTGCAACTCACATCTCATAGTTTTCATCTTTGAAAACCGGTAGATTTGTAGGAAATTGCATTGATATTGTGTTACCGTTTATCATTGGTAACTGAATCGCAATCGGGCTTGATGATATCAAATTAAAATAAAGTTATTCGAGAGAAATGTGAATTAATAATTAATTAAATTGAATAAATAATTATTTAAATTTATGACCAAATTTATTGAATTTATTACATTTTTAATATAAATTAAATTAATTATGTATTTAATTAAATTATTTATTGTTTTATACGTGATTAATAAGATATTTTTACCTTCTAAAAATGTGTAAGAACAAAAGAAAGTCAACGTGAACATTTTTTATTAAAAATATGTTATTACAAAAGAAGAATAAGTTTATAAGAAGAAAAAAAAAATCAAAATCGCCAACTGGTAACTGGACATGAGTACTCAAACTCAACAATACAAGTGAATCAGAATATTTATTTGACAACTTAATTAAGACATTATTACTAAATATCTCAACTAATTAAAATAATCTGTTATTACTACTATAGAAGAAAAAAAAGATAAGTACAAGTAATTTAGAAAAAAGAAAAGAAAAATTGCCAGCTGGACATGAATACTCAAACTCCAATCTATGTTATTTGTTGAAAGGTCAATATCTAAAATGATGGTCTTCTGCGGTCTTTTTCTGAAAGCGAAAGACACAAAATTCCAAACATCAGATGAAGCTTTTGTTACCACTATCGGAAAAAAATTGCAACACATTCATTTGATTTGATCCCAAAAAATATAATTAATGAATTTATAATAATTCAATAACTATTATATTTTAAATACAAATATATCTTTCTTTTCATTTTATTCATTCTTCAATCTCTTCCTTGCATTGCGTTTCATTTCCCAGCTAAGCCAAACCCACGTGCACGTTTTCTTTCGTCGTTTTCTGACAAAACGGTGCCGTTTTCGATAGAAGGAGAAAAAAAGTGTGTTCCGATGATGTAGAGAGGTTGATCTGAAATGCACCGGCTACCGAGTAGCGGACATTCGACGCCGTCATCTCCGCAATCGCCGGTACGTTCGCCGAGGCTCCGTCAAGGGCGGTCTAAGGCGGGGAAATTTTCTTCTGGAGGGAATAGTTTAGCGCAGAGGTTGAGTTTGATGTTGCTTTCGGTTCTTCTCCGGCGACAGGGGATTTTCCTGTTCGCTCCTTTGATTTATATCTCCGGCATGCTTTTATATATGGGAACGGCGTCGTTTGATGTTGTTCCGATCATTAAACACCGTTCTGCTCCTGGTTCGGTTTATCGTAGTCCTCAGCTTTATGCTAATCTTCGTCGTGATATGGATTCAGATAACTCTTCTACCGATGCGGTTTGATTCTTTCTCTTGCATTTTCTTTTTGATGTTTAGAATGTTTGGAATGAAATGTGAATTGTCTTTGCTTACTCTTATTAGATTTTTCAAATATTGCTTCGGAAGGTTTTGGATTTATGTATTGATTTGAATTTCAAATGTAACTTGTTTGTGGAGGGGGAGTTTTTGTGTTGTATTTTTGGTAAAATTGTTTTCCAGTTCTGAACTCTGTGACTAGATATTTAGTGGCAATAATGTAACGTGGGATCACAGATTTCTAACTTAAGAAGTCGATTCTGATTTCCCTCTGGTTTTGCACGAGCTGTTGACTCTAGTTTCTAGAAATAGCATCTGATGCCTCTGAAAAAAGGGGTTTGTGTCCGTGTCTGTGTGCAAAACCGATTATGTGATTACGTTTAGTTTATCCATTTTTTCAAATTATTATATTACCAGTGCTAATGTGTGTGCTGTGTCTGATCAAATCTTTGGAAGTGTAAACCCTTTTTTTTCTTTGTTGTGTATAAATACTTTAGCTGAATAAATAATCTGCTCATGTTCATATTAGGAGCAATGTTGTTAAATAGCTGGATAGTGAAAAATTTGACAAACCACTATTGTTCCATGATAGGCTATTTAAATTAAAATGATGTCAAATAACCGCCATAGTGGAACTATAACACTATTGCATAATGGAATTTTAACAATACACTATTTTCCGCCATTTGCAGTTGACAATACTAATTAGGAGATTGATTGGATTGTGCTGGTATGAATTGGATTTCATACATTTTTACTTGAACTTAGGTTATTGTTATAATAAAATAGAAGGTTCACACTTGTTCTCCTTTCCCATACAATCTCCAAATTTCAACAGTCTGTATAAGGAAAATTTACAATGATTATGTAAAAGGTTGACTGGAATCAGCAGTACTTGCTTGTGCGATACTTACTATTGGCATGTGTGGATATTCATTTGCGGAAAATCGTTTTTCAGTGTTCTCGAGCTTGTTATTTAGACAAGTGGGAACAGAGCAATTTGTCCATATTCATGTAATTGCAACAATGTCCATATTCATGTAAGCCCTAGTGATTCGATTTGATAGGATGGGTTAAGTGTGACATTGAGACTTGTAGGGTATGAAACCTGACAAGAGGTGCTTGGTATGTAAGTCAGGTGGCCATAGGAGAAAACGCTATTGGAAAAAGCATAACATTTATCATAGCTGCTTTATCTTGTGTTTAACTTGATGATCTTTTCTTTTTAAAAGACTGACAGCAGTGCTGTTAAATAGAAGCTATAGTGTAGTGGAATTTGGACAAACTGCTATTATTCTGCGATATGCTTTTTAAGATGAAATGTTGTCCAATTGCAGCTATAGTGGCACCATAGCACTATAGCCTTGCAGGATTTAACAATCCGTTATTTTCTGCTTTCCGCAGTTGACAACATTGTTGGCAAGGGATGGATTGCTTTGAGATGATGCTAATGATTATCGAATAAAGAAAACATCTGTAACCTGCTTATGTATAGTGTCTTTATGAAGGATCTAAAACGTATCTTTTCAGAACTTGAAAACATATGCTTCTTTTGGGGGTATTTCTTGTTTGTACTGTAATATCATTATTATGACATTTTCTGCTACATATTTTATTTTATGTTTTTACACTTGCATTTTTTTGGGAATGAGATTGTTAATAAAATTGGAGTCTGTTTATTGATATACCACCATACTTGATATTACTTTACACACTTGCCTTTTTTTTTAATGACATGCTACTAAAATTCCTTTCAGATATTTACAATATGGAAGAGTCCATATAGAGGCGGTGAATGGAAACCATGTGTAAACAGATCTTCAGAAGGTATATTATTATTTGTATTTAATTTATTCACATAAATGATCATTTTCATATCTCTCTTTCTTTCTCTCTCTCTCTCTCTCTCTCTCTCTCTCTCTCTCTCTCTCTCTCTCTCTATATATATATATATATATATATATATATATATATATATATATATATATATATATATATATATATATATCACAAGTCACGTGGTTTAAATATCTTGGGTCCGTAATGTAAAATGATGATCGCAGGTGCGGGGGGTCGAACCGTGATCCTCCCTACCAAGTCCAGCACCAATCACCACTTGACCAACTAACGATTGGTCAGACATGATAAGATTAGAAATGGTAAAATATTAGAGATTTTTTGGAGTAACACTTATAGTAGAAAAAATGGTAGAAACTAGGCTTTTAGGTGGTTTGGGCATGTAGAGAGACATGTAGATTCTGTTGTAAGGTGAGTAGATCAGATCAAGAGGAGTCAAACAACTAGAGGTAGAGGAAGACCTAAAAAAACTATAAGAGAAACTATTAAGAAAGGTCTCGGGATAAACGGATTGGATAGCAACATGGTATTGGATAGAATATTATGGTGGAAAAATTCGATCCATGTAACCGATCTCACTTAGTGGGATAATGCTTGATCGTTGTTCCTGTAATCTTCCTTTTTTGAAGGAAATATTTTCCTTGATGTAGTATTTTAACTCTTTTTTCTCAAATTGAACTTTTTTTTCTTATGTAAAGGAAAAGAATGTTGGGAAAAAAAATCTGTGTTGATGGCATTATATTGCCATTTAATTTATAAAGTGCTCCACTATTGGTTGTTACTGTATATTATATTGTTGTAGGAGAGTATGTTGGAAATCATAACTGCATATTCTTCCACCACTTTGTGTTGCATATTATTTTTAATTTTTTTTAAATGCTGTTGACAGAGCTACCTGAATCTATTGGATACATATATGTAGATGCTAATGGTGGTTTAAATCAACAGAGGACATCGGTTAGTGTTTCTTGTACATTATATGTTTTCAAATATTGAAAGCATATTTAATTTATTCTTCTCCACTTATTTTGTGAATGATATCATTGCTTCATAGATATGCAATGCTGTTGCTGTGGCTGGCTATCTAAATGCTACCCTTGTGATCCCCAACTTCCATTATCATAGCATATGGAAAGATCATAGGTTGGTTTGTTTTACTTAAATTTAATTTGTGTTTGTGAACTGTTTTCTCAGATGGAATATTTTGTATTATATTTGTGCTTTTAATATATATTACTTGTCATGCATTTCTTTAGATCTCCATGACGGTGTTGTTAGTTTAGGTTGAAACAGCCCAAATTGATCCATAATGTTTCTCGTGTCCAGCAAATTCAGGGATATTTATGATGAAGAATATTTTATCGATGCCCTTAAAAATGATGTACGGGTGGTTGACAAGATTCCTGAGTTTCTAATGGAAAGATTTGACAGCAACATGACAAATGTTCACAATTTCAGGATCAAGGCGTGGTCCTCCATTCAGTATTATAGAGATGTGGTGCTCCCAAAATTACTTGAAGAAAAGTGAGTTTATAATGTTTGGTGATGAAATATTTTTGTCGTTCATTTTGATCTTTAATAGTTATTGCTTAAACAGTTTGAGGTGATTGATGTATCCAAGGTTACTTAGGAGAAGAAAGGGAGGAGTGCACAAAATTTGTGTTGTAGTGTGATGTATTTGACTTCATTGACATGCTGGGATTCTTTGCAATGTAAGATTATTGATAAGGGTTGTTACTTGGGCTCACGAGTCTTGACAATAGCTCTACACAAACGAGTGGTCGATTGGCAGGGAGAGGTGTACCACTTAAGTACCACATTGAACTTTAATCATTGTGGGACAGGATAGATAGAATATTGTTTTGTATTAAATTGTTATTATTACCCCATCAGATAAATAGGAGTTTATAATCAAATATGGCTATTTGTCTGGTGATAAGGAAGCTGAAAGTTTTAATCACGTATTGAATTTAATTTTATTCGTACAGGGTTATAAGATTTTCACCTTATGCGAATAGATTGTCCTTTGATGCTCCTCCAGTTGTCCAGCGTCTCAGGTGCTTAGCAAATTATGAGGCTTTACGGTTTTCAAGACCTATATTAACCATAGGTGAATCTTTGGTTGAAAGAATGAGAAAGCATAGTGCCATTAATGGTGGTAAATATGTATCTGTACATCTTCGTTTTGAAGAGGTTAGTTTTGATCAAATATGAATGTCTATCGGTATATATTATGAATATTGACAATACATGTTAATCTTTGCTGCAACCAATGTCCCATGGTTTCCCGTTCACAGGATATGGTTGCTTTCTCATGTTGTGTTTTTGATGGTGGGAAACCGGAGGCACAAAACATGAGTGCTGCAAGAGAAAGAGGTTGGAGAGGGAAATTTACAAAAGCTGGACGAGTCATACGTCCTGGAGCAATCAGGATCAATGGGAAGTGTCCCCTCAGCCCGACAGAGGTTATCATCTCCTTGAAACTTTAGTAATTTTTGTCTGAAAGAAAAGGAAGAAAAATTCCAGCAATGCATATTTCTTTTTGTAGTGTTTACTTTTTAGTCTAGCTAGAAATTTCAAAGGTTTCCTGATAGTTCTCCTTATTCAGCAAATGTTGATGAGTGTTTTTTGTAATTGCATTTATTTTATTTATGCCTTCATCCATCTCTTCAGGTTGGCCTGATGCTGAGAGGAATGGGTTTTACCAAAAACACATCTATCTTTTTGGCATCTGGAAAAATATATAATGCTGAAAAAACAATGGCTCCACTACTAGAAATGTTTCCTAATTTGCATACTAAGGAGACTCTGGCTTCTGAAGAGGAACTTTCTCCATTTAAGGTACATATTTGTAATGTTATTTATTTGTCACCTCTGGGACCGGTTTTGTTTTAGGATTTTTGACTTTAGCTACTTGTTTCAGGGTTATTCTTCCAGGATGGCTGCTATAGATTATACTGTTTGTCTTCATAGTGAGGTGTTTGTCACAACTCAGGGCGGCAACTTTCCTCATTTTCTGCTGGGCCACAGAAGATACTTGTATGGTGGACACGCCAAGACAATTAAGCCCGATAAGCGGAAGTTAGCGTTGCTGTTTGATAATCCCAATATAGGGTAATGTATCATTTCATACTAGCATATATCTTGTTTGAGTTTACATAGCTTAAATTAATTAGAAGATTCCCCCATTCGACTCGCCCAAGAAAAAAGGGGGAAAATCCCTCACCCCTTAGCACCTCTTGTTGACTTTGAAAGTAATTAGGGTTACAAAATTTCATGATATGCGATATCAATAGGAGTTCATTTTATTACAAGGTTATCTCTGAAGAAAAGATTCTCTTTTTCTGATAGCACACATTAAGTGGAGGGTGTAGAGTCTTGGATAAACCAGGCTACTGAAAAAATGGCTTTGCCACCAAGAAATATTTCCTTTATAGAAAGAACAATTCTACCTAGTACCTATGCAATAACTGCTATTGCAATTATGGCAAACTCGTGAGTCCAATTGAGTTTAAGAGGAAAATGGTTCAGTGTCTGTTGTTGATGTGATGGAAAATTTGGTAGCGTTTCTCTTTAAAAAAATTTGAGATATTATTTCTTAATAAAAAGTACCTGAAGCCTCACTCCTCTAATTTATTGTTTTCCAGATGGAAAAGTTTGAAGCGCCAACTGCTGAACATGAGGTCACACAGTGATTCCAAGGGAGTTGAGCTCAAAAGACCAAATGACTCTATATACAGCTTTCCATGCCCAGATTGTATGTGCCGTGCCAACAAAACCGCCAATTCAAAATCTAAATCAGCTGCTTGATCTACTAACAGAATTTAATGGGTGTTTCTGCTACTTATAATTTTGTGAGCATGCCTTGCAACATTTCTCATACTGTGATTGTCATTTCCCCCTATTCCCTTCTGGGATAAGGCATACACACCAATTTTGGAGATCAAAGGATTTTGTTGGAGGTCTCATTGCTCTGAGTATATTTCGATTAAATTTCAAGGGGTGGCATGCTTTTTACACATGATGCCAATTCAGGACAGGATGGAAAAATGTTCCTTTGCAGGAATCTCTCCCAAAACGTTGAGTGAGCTATGTTCCGCACATGAATTAGTAGCTTCTGTGCCTGTAACCTGTTTAAAGAGTCAACGGAAAAGTTCACATTCCTTCACAACCTGCCTGTACATTACCCGAAGTATGATATTCATGTGTTAAGGCTGTAGCAAGCAATAACTCTGTACATTTACGAATTCAGGGACCTGCCATACGGTTTTCTTGGTCTGTTTTAGATTAATTTTATTTTTTCTTTATTCATGTTACCACATTTGTAGTTCGTTTGCCCTCATATTGAGGGCCTAGTTATTAGTATCTTAGCTCATTTGTTATTCTTTTACATCGGTACCCTCGTTGTTTTAGCGATGATAGCTGTAAATGTAACTATTTCACCATTCATAACAAGCAATTAGGAAAGTTTGCTAGGAGAAACTTGTCAAAATTTGTTCTCAATAGTTTGAATGATAAAGTAAAGTTTTCACGAGGGGATTCGCACTCACTGAGATGGTTAAAATATTAGGCTTATGGAACTTCACAAGAGAAGCATAATAAAGCTAGAAGTCACCACACCAACATGATTGACAAAGGGTGCTTCAAACCTGGCATCCCCCAATTAAATTAAACCCGGTGACTCACATAGAAGCTGCTTTTACCTCTATGCCCTGGATAATTTTAAATTTTTTTTTTCTGTTGCGTTTATTGGAATTTTCGAAAAAATATTAGAATTTTCTGATAAAATATCAATGATCTCCAGTAGTGTTAATTGATTTTTTTTTATTGAATATGAATTATCAAAATTTTAAAAAAATCAAAAAAATAAGGTAGATATCGGATTTATCAAAAAAATTCGGTATGTTAATTAAAAAAAACCGATAAAAAATTTATATCAACAAATAACACACATTTATCTTTTAACAAAAAAATTTCTCCAAACATATTGGAGTTTGTGGTGTTTTTTTTTTCTGCATAGATGTGGGGTGTGCTTGAGGGCCTAAAATTTGAGTAGTTGTTTTGTCTTTTGGACTTGGGTACTCCTAATTCAAAAAAATAAAATAAAAATCAAACTCATGTAAGAATTTCTTCAATCATTGCAACTTTTTTCATATTTAGGAATGACAACGAACCCTACCTCAGTAGTAGATAATAATGTTACATACTTTTGCAATTTAAATTGTCAAACTACAAATCTCAGCTACAAATTTAATCATGTAATTCAAAACAAACTTTGTGGGATCAATGTCTCCAACTATATTTGAGTCAGAGTACCCTACCAAAATATATTTGTCACCTCCAAAACAAAGTATTGTACAAGTAGTACCACAAATGTACCTTAAAATTTATTTTGTAGCAGTCCAATGCTCTTTAGTTAGTTGACAAAAATCTACTAATTGTACCAAAAATATATATAATATCTGATCCTGTCCACGCTATCATATGTATCAAGCTACCCACAGATGAATAAAGAATTCATTTCATATCCATTTTTTCTCAATGCAAGGAGTTTGTTTAAAACTCAATATGCTTTAGAGTTTTCCATCTGAAGTATATTCAACATAATTTAAATATAGCATTCTTGTCACATAAATTTTTTCTCCATTCTAACCCACATGTTTTTTTATACCAAAAATCGGTTTAGCTTCTGACATGTCTTTCATGTAAAAAGACTCACCCACAAATTTCCTTTAAATGTCAAATTTATAGCTATATATCTTTAACAATTGATTTTATTTAAAAAATTTATTATATATCCATTTGAATTATTTAATGACCATTTAAATTTGTTTAATATTTAAATAAATCACTAAAAACTTGTAATTTGATGATTAAATAAATTATTGATATAAAGAATTAATAGCGTTCAGACAGATACTCGTGTGCCCATCTATCCGCTTTTTTAATGCACACACACGTAGAGATGACAAAAGAATTCGTACCCGCAGATATTCACGAATAAAATCCTCACAGAATATGAGGCGGGTAGCTTAATGAATATCTACGGATAAAATAAATGGATATTTAAATACCTGTTTGTTAATGGATATGGATACATATGTAATGTTATTTGTATCCACGAATATCCATATCCGTTAATAAATTATAAAAATTATTTAAATATCATTGATTTATTATAACTTATCTTTTCATTTTTTGAAAAAATTAGTCTTCTTTTATATATATATATATATATATATATATATATATATATATATATATATATATATATATATATATATATATATATATATATATATATATATATATATATATATATATATATATATATATATATATATATATATATATATATATATATATATTTATTCTTTGAAGAAAATCTTTCACATTTCATTCAAATTTTATTAGCCATTTCATATTTAAACTCTTCAATACTTCATACCTCAATTCAACAATTTCACAGTCTAACCAACTAGTGTCGAACCAATGTCTCCCTCCATACTCCTCTGCCGTCCGCTATTCCATCATAACTCACAATCACAATATTTTTTATTTGTTTGGTTAAAAATGAAATATATGGATATTATGTTTGGATCTAATTATGTTTTGGTGAATAAGAAGAAAATTAATGTGATGAAATTTTATTGTTAATTAGGAGCGAATTGTATGAATGTTATGTGATAATAACTTTTTGCCTCTTTAAAAGAAGTTAAAAATATTTTTGTTCAAAAAATAATTTTTATAAAAAATATTATCCATGGATATTTCTAAATATCTATGTAGGGATGACAATTGTATCCATCCTCAGTGGGTACCCTCAAAATTTACCCACAACGGATAGGGTAAAAACCCGCAAAATGGATACAGGCACATACCAAACAATTATCCACTAAAATAAGTGGGTATGAGTGCGGGTACGGGTATCTTAGTACCCAGCCGTCCATACCCGCACAATATATATTTATATATTTTTATTTTCATTATTATGTACATGGGTTAATCTAACAATTTTATTAAATACGCCACCATTAAATTTTTACGCATTTTAATATAAATGTTTGTTTATTTCTTAACTTAATAGTAACGTCCTCGATTTTTTTTTTAAATATTGTTAAAAAATTAAAATGACATGAGAAATTATAATTGATCGATAATTTTTATTAGAAATACGGGTAAACGGGTATGGGTATGAGTACTAAGGTATCCATAGAGTACAGGTACAGGTACAAACGTTGGTGCCCACGCGGGTATGGACTCAGGTATGAAGATTTTTTTAAACTGCGAGTTTGGGGACAAATATTATAGTATCCTGTGCAAACTCTGCCCATTACCATCCTTATATTTGTGAATACCTTAAAACCCGTGGATTACCTACTTAACGGATACTCGCATGGATATGGGACGGATATGAATATCATATTTATCAAACGGGGTGAATACCAATATCCATTTACACCCCTACACACATGTGAAAATATAAACGAATATATTTTTTTTGATGGAATGGAGGGTGTTGCACCCCAAAATTTGCCCTCTTTCAAGGCTCGACTCATTTCTTCATTTCTTTCAAATTCAATGGCATAAGGGAAGCCCATCATTTCAAATTCAAGGTTCTTGAATTCAAGGCTAGATTCAAGAGTTTTTTACAAAGAGAAATCTCTTGACATTGTCAAGAATGTTACATTGGTTACCAAATTTCGAACTCTTGATAATGCTTAGGAAATTAAGCTATTTCTAGTCTTAATTCAAGATTCTAAATAACTTCATGCCATGGTATCCCCCATGCTCCATCAAGTCCACATGACCCTCCTTGTGCTTACAAACATGCAAAGAAATATGCAAGAATTAAATCAACATTGGAATGTTTATGGGCCAAGATTATGCATGTTCAATCATGGGCAAAACAGCCCCATGCAAGAGTTGAAGAATTACTACATGTCACAAAATCAAGAGGACAACATGTACTATGTTACAAGATCATTTTTTATGTCACAAAGTCAAGGAAATAGCATGCAAATGATATATTTACTTGCTAAATATCAGTTTGCAAATGCTGTCAAAGAGTGGTAACAATTGGCTACATGGCAAGATACAAAGCAATACCATCCAAGAGACTAATGGGCAAAAAGAAGGATAGTAGTATAGTATGCTACAGCAGAAAAATGCAGCAAGTCATACTAGAAATAGAAGGGAAAAGTGAGGCTGCACAAAAGGAAGAAAAAGGCATTGCCAAAAATGGAAAGTTGGTGATGAAAAGGTGTGCAAAGTGTGTGGCTTTAGGACAGCAGAAAAAGTTGACAGAAAAGGTGGAAAATGGGCTGCAAGCAAGCATAGAAAACATAGTATTCCTTACTATCAAAAAACAGAACACATTTTGGAGATAGAGAGATTGAGAGCAAAGAGTAAGAGAGAAAACCAGAAAAATAGAGAGAGCAAAAAACCAGCAATAGATTTAGAGAGTGAAAGAGAAGTACAAGGGAGCCATTGAGAAGGAGAGCCATCAAAGCATAGAGTGAAGAGAAGTGAACACCTAGCCAAAATCAGTGGAGGCTTTGCAAGGAGGGAAACAACTCTTGGGTATCCATTTCTTCAAACTTTTCTCTTCTTTTACATTGTGCATTTATCTTTTGTTCTCTTGGTTTGAGTGTTGTTGTGTTGAGTATAACATGTAAGATCCCAAAGGGACCAAGAAACCCTTTTGAAAGAACCACAAAAAGAGGCAAAAAACAAGAGAAAGTTTGGAATTTTTCATCTGGCAGCCTAACACGGGCCGTGTCACACGACACGGTCGACCGTGTTACATC